ACAAGCTGAGGAGAATTGCCTGAGATGTCCTTATTTCATATGTAGGTGGCCGGGGCTCCTTGTACACCACTGATCTGCGGATGGGATTATCTGTTTCCCGGTTCTTCAAATCCCTCAGTGTGGCTAGAATAATTAGATTTGGTCTGATTATTTTCTTGAGCTGGGCAAGCTCTTCCTGGTGACAGCTGCTGCTACTGTATCTTGCCCCACAGTGTTTTAGAGTAAACCTGTCATTAAAAAGCCTGCGTGGAATCTCTAACTGGTTTACTTGACTTTGTTTCTTGTTAAGTATCCTCAGAAGGGGCACACACATTGGAAGCCCGCTGTGTGTAATTAAGAGATAATTGTAGTTGTCTGGGCATTTTGTGCTGCTATACCATTAGCTTATTTGCAAGTAATGCCTAAATGTGGTTAAGATGACGATTTCTAAAATGAATAAAGAATACATTTTGAAGGATGAAATGTGTGATAATTTGAAAGAGCACTTCACCTTGTTTTGCTAAGATGCGCTACATTTTAGCCTGATTTGGTTTTTTTAAGCCTGGTGTTTTTAAATTAAGCTTGAAGTCTTTAAATTAAGCTGACTTGTTTTGGTATCCAGGAGCAATCATCACATATTTTGTCCTACTGTGTACAGCCTTGAAGATTCTATTTATACCATAACTTTCCTTCTTCATAGATGTGTAATGCAACCTTTGGACAAGTGAATATGATTAAATGCATTCTAGGACAGTGAATAATGATTCTCAATGAATTTTGGAGCAAGCCTATTCAATTTCATTAACATTAGTTACATGAAGAAATTGTCTGGTATTATCCTGGGTGTGACTTTTCTCTATTGTACTGTATGATGAATGCTAGTGAGTTATTTATGGGAAAGAAATTAATAAAACAATATACTGAAAACATTCATCTCACTGAATAGTGTATGGATAAGTCAAAGAATAAAAGTCAAAATTTGGAGAGTTGCTTAAAGTTAAATAATGCACACAATTCCTTTTTCATTATTGTTTTCTCCACTGAATTTTCTGCCATTTATCTTTGGACTGGGCCTTTCCTAATAAGGTATATAAAGGTCTTAAAGGGACCACAATTCTGCCACTCTGAAGCAACTCTTTGGGATATTGATTTTAAGCTGTTTATTAAGAACCAAAAGATTCAGAAAGAACCTTCGACTCTTTTCCCATTTCCTGCCCAAAAGAGTCAGACAGAGAAACCTGCTTCAGGAAGATCATAGGATTTTCACCTTAGCCTAATTTGAACTAAGTATATTAAACAAGTATGTTAAATAAGAATGTTGAACTAAGTATAGCTAGATTCATTGTGGCCCACTGTTTCAGAGTCACCAAGCAAGGATTTCCCTGACTTTGTGTTCAGCTCTCCTTCAACTACCGGAAAATCACCCATTCTCATGTCTAATAACCCCATTCCCCACCTTTTCTCCTTTGTCCAAAATGTCTTGTATATTCAGTGTTGCCTCACTGTCTTGAGAATCTTCATGGATTTATTATGTCTATGTGAATTTCCTGTGCACATGTATTAAACTTTGATTTTTCTCCTATTAGTCTCTGTTAAGTTGGTTATTAGCCCAGCCAGAAGAACTTAGAAGGTGGAAGGGAAAGTATTAATATATTTTTAGCCCCTACAGTCTCTAGCCAGTTCTAAATGGTAAGTCTGAGCTGTACATGCAAATACGTACCCCCATTGTGCATTTGGTGAAATTGTGTTGTCTAATGGGCCCATGCACATTTGTTAGAATCATTTCACTTGGGCTCTTCTTTTGTTTTGTTTTAATTGAATTTACTGCCACTTAGACTCTTGACATTGTTGTGTTGGTGGTGACGACAACAGCACCAGGTGTTAGATCAGTAAGAGTCAGACCGGACCTTGGTTCAGCAACCTCCGGTCTTGAGTTATGGCTAAGAAAGAACTCAGAGCCAAGACTCAAACTACAAGAGAAAGTTTATTTAGAAATTCACACAGGTAGAAGTGGTCCATAGAAGAAATGGGCTTAGGAAATAGGTACAGAGGCAAAAGAAGGGAACTCAGAGCTTAGAGTAGAGAAGAGTAAAGGTAATGTGCCTTGTGGGGAAGAAATGGGGGGCGAGGAAGGCTCCCCAAATGGAGAGCAGCTATGTCCTCTGTCCTAAGGGCCTTTAAAGGATGGGTAGTTTAGTGGAGATCTCAGAGGAGGATGTCAATAGAACGTTCATCCAGGTATGTCCTTTCAGGATTGTGGTCTCCACTGATTGGTTGAAGCCAGGGCAGGGGGTCACTTAGTCAAGTCAATGCAGCAGGTCCAGCCATGCTGTCCAGTTGTTGCTTGTCTGATTTTGCTGCTTTTCGGGGCCTGGAGCTGAAACACAACTGAGCCCTTGATGTATTTGATGCAGGTCAGAGCTTCATTGTCCTGGGAGCTTAATGCTTAAGGGCTGTTCTCCAGTTCCCTTGTTTGTTCTCCCTCTCAAGGTGAGGAAAGGTCAGGGGAGGGTCCAGACCAGTGATATGAAAGGTCAGGGAAGTCTAAACTGTATGACCATCAAGATGCTAGTGGAGGAAAGGCTACCCTGGGGGTTAAGGTCCTTGTTTTCCAGTTTTGCCAGTCGCTAGGCATCTGGGGCTTTCCACCACGGTGACCTTCTTTACCTGGCCTATTTATCCGTACGCTGCTCACGTCTGTCCAACTGTCTGCCACAAGTGGAGAAATGTGAAAATTGACAAGATACCCGAGCAGAAATTCAGTTTGCATTGAACACAATTGTATAAACTTATCATCCCTTAACAGTGCTCATCTGAGTAAGATATTGTATATTTTTTAGGTTTTAGAGATGACTAAAAGAAAGTTAGAACTTATCTTTTTTAAAAAGGCAGAACTTTATTTGCTCTTTTGCAGTAACTGTACCCCTTCACTATGATAATGGCTACCATCAATAGCATAATCTTAAAATTGTCATTATTATCAAATATTTATCAAGTCCTCCTTCATTGCAAGCATAGGTTGTAAAGATTTATAGAGTTGATTAGAACAGCCACTGTTCTCAATAGTTTATAATCTAAAGACAGGCAATTCAGAAGAATATAAAAGATACTATTTTCTTGAAGCATAAAAAAAGCATAATCTATCATTCTGTATTTTTTTGTTGCTATTGTTAATCCTCACCTGAAGATATTTTTCCATTGATTTTCAGATAAAGAGGAAGAGAGGGAGGGAGAAAGAAATATCAATGTGAAAGAGACACATCAATTGGCTGCCTCCTGCACAGCCAGGGATCAAACCTGCAACCCAGGTACATGCCCTTGGCCAGGAATCAAACCCAAAACCCTTAGATTCATGGGCTGATGCTCTAACCACTTAGCAACCAGCCAGGACTATCATTCTGTATTTCTTATCTCTCATTGTTCTTCCAGAGTCTCCTGTTCTAAATGAGTTCTCCCAAAAGTCAGATCCTAGGAAAAGAATTTGGGTGCAAACAGTTTATTTGGGAAGTGACTACAGACAGCAGAGTGAGAGACAAGCCTATAAAAGGTGGCTTCATTAGCATCTTACTGCTGTGGGCAACAGGGCTCACTCCTGCTGGGGACCCACTGAGCACCTGCAGAGAATACATCTCAGAATTGTCTCTTCTCGCAAACCGATGAGGAAATGTGGATATTTATCCTTTGACTCTTGTCTCTATACGGTTGAGAGTTGCTATTGGGGCATTAAATCCCAGGCCCTGTGGGCTCTCTCCTCACGCATACCCAGCACAGTCCCAGGGACAGGGAGAAGCAGAAGGGAGGAAGCTTTTTGTCAGAATAGGAATTCTCCACTGAATGGGCAGGTGACCTCCATGGGGGGGCCAAGCGGAGGTGGCGGGGGTATTTATAACATCTGTTACATCCCCTTTTTCCATTTGGGTAAAAAGTTAGCCCTTTTCTTGGCCCAAAGCCATCATGTAGTATTCAAACATTTTTTTCAAACCATACCTAATATTCAAACATTTTTTATCACTATTTTAAAGCACCATATACTACCTTTGTACTAAAAATTACATGCAGAGTGTTTAATTTAGTCTTGAATAACCTATCCTGATTTTGAATAGCCTATAAATTAGCACCCATATCTGAATCATTTTTTATCACAAGTGTGGTACACTGGTATTTTCTTTCTTGTCATTTTTTTCTTATAGGACAATGTGTACCTAAGAAAAGAAATTATCCATCTTATATAAGAAGACAATTATCTCAAAAGAATCAAAGAGAAACTATGCTAACCAAAATAGCAGACACATCGGTGTCACTAAGCGATTGCATATTGTATTTCTGAGGTTATATCCATGCCAAACAGGTTCAATCAAATTCAATTTTAAAAGACTGAGTTCAATAAAATCTATTTTCAGAGGTTGTCTTCATGACAGGGAACAGCCAGTTTGAAGGTTTCTCCCAATTTCTTAAAAGGTTGTGTGGGTGACCTAAAGATTATAATGCATTTTAAATAAGCAGAGGCAAGTCAAGAGTGGGGCAAAACCGGCCAACAGGGGGCATCATCACGCCCTTCTGGGAACAAGGCAGAGCAAACGTGCAGAAAGGAAGTAAGTACAAGCAAACCAACATACTGGTCTTTTACAGGCACTTACAAGGAAGGACTATTTTCCATTAGAGTCAGAGGATTTGCAAGAGGCAGGAAGGAAAATGGGCAAATCAGGACAATGCTGTTTTATCACTTAGGGTTCCGGCAAGAAACACTGAAACTAATGGATTTGAGGAGAATTTAAGAAATGGTTGGACTATTTACAAGTGTGGGCAGGACTAGGGAAACCAAAATAGATAGTGTAATATTCAGGGCTAGCAACAGCAGGGAGGAGGTCAGAGCCTAAAGGGCAGGGAGTAGAAGTTGCCAGCTATCAGAGAGAGAACTATGAGGACAGGGCCACCTGGCAGGAGATGAGGCCATGTGTTGGCACTGGTGGACCCACCAAGAGGATGCCAGGGCAATAAATATCCCAACCTTACCTGCCTGTCCTCGCCATTGAACAACCCCAGCCAGCAGGCAGAGGGTGGGGACAATGTGGGTGTCACCCATCCAGGTCAGCCACCAGGAGCAGAGGGCATGGTAGACAGAGAGTCTGAGAGCAAAAGAAACCATTATATCAAAGGACCTTACTTAATTCATATGTGAGCGAGCAATTTAGCCAAGAGAGATCTCTATCCCCTGCTCTTTCTGAATTGTCCTGCCACTGACCAGAGAAAAAGCAAGTAGAAGTTCACCATCTCATTAGGCAGTAAGGTGTCCCCTAATATCAGGTGTGAGAAAAAGGATACTCCGTCACTACAATGGGAGAGAGTCTAAAATGTCAGGATCCCATTTATAATCCTAAAGAGGATGTGTAGCTCCCTGAGTTCCATTAATTTGTGACAGACTCAGAGAGACGAGTCCCCATCATCATAAATCAGCAGCATCCCCCTGCATACCTGGACATGTGTAGAATTTGACCTTGGGCTTCAGAAGTTTTAGGAGTCCCCATGGTGCTCCCAGGCATAATTGCATCAGGCTGGTAGCAACTGCTTATTATGCCCTGGGGGAAATGAATGATGTTCTGTAACATGGCTCTGCCTCAAGTTAAATTTTTTAAAAAAAATTTTTAATACATGTAAGTGAAAGACACCCAGAGTCCTCCCATTTCTGGAACTTAGTACTCATGGCTACCTCAGCACCCAGTTGTGGGAGGATGGACAGTAGTTGACCCAGATGGTTTCTTCCGCATCTTTGATGGTTTGTAGCAACTTTGCTTACGTGCCCTAAGAAACTCTGTGATGTTTGTGCTTGGAGGCAGCAGGTACTGCTAAGCCTCAGAGAGCCGGGGAAACTTGGACTGTGAAGGCAATTTCCCTTGCTGGAGAGGAACTCTCTGCGAGATAAGAAATTGAGCACTTTCTCCTCTGCCATATGGTGCTGCCGCATAATTTAAATCCAAACAGCCAAATTCCATAGCCTGAGAACTGCAGTCGGTAACACTCCTAATCACTTTATTGATATAAGTAGGTACAGAGAAGCATAATAATTTAAGTGAAAACCATGTTTTTAGAATCTGATAGGAAAACCTCCAAACCTAATTTTTTTTTTTTTTTTTAATCTTCTGATTCAAAGGAAAGGCCCAGAAGAAAGATGCCAAGGGAACAGCTAGACAAATGGATACTAACTAACAAAGTTACTTTTTGAAAAAGCTGTCTGCTGACCAACTGTTTGGAACCCTTTAATATGAGACCTTTTATAGCAGGATCCTTAGAACAACAGAAAGAAATGCATTAAGCTCTAATTCCCACACATACTGTTAATGTTAATAAAAGTCATAATTGAGAAAAAGGAGGTGGGTATGCAGCCAAGCTATTTGACAGTTTTTACCGAATAGCAAAAGAATTCTAAGAAGCATTTTGCTTAAAGATAAATATACCTAGAATAGGTAAGGTGGAGAATTCCAGCTTATGAGTTTTAGTAGAGATTTATAAGCCAACATATTTTTACACTTTTAATCTAATCCAAGAAGGCAAGTTTTAAGGAACACAGCAGTTCCCTCCTCTTTGAGCTGAAAGCAAATGGAGTGTGGAGATGCATAATTTGGCCCTTAGGAGATTTAAGGGGAAACTCAGCTGCCATTCTGAGCAACTGTGAGAGAAATGGAGATCCTGAGAGAAAAAAGGGAAAAGACGACCTTATATGCTCTTCGGGAAAATCCTCCCTTCTGTATCAACAAAATTCTATTAAGTTGAAAAAAAAAAAAAAAAGAATAAGAGGAAGGGAGGGAGGGAGGAAGGAAGGAAGGAAGGAAGGAAGGAAGGAAGGGAGGGAGGGAGGGAGGGAGGGAGGGAGGAAAATGTTACCTTCAGGAGCAGGGTAGTTTGGCTTCAGTGGTGCAAAGACATCACTGGGGGAAGACTGGTTGATTTTCATCTTCCAACACTGCTCCTTCTGGACAGGCTTTACTCTCAGCCAGGCTCCCCTTTTGTGGAGATACAGCAGAGAAAGCTCGCTGTCCTGTCACAGTTGTTTTCGCCTTACTCCTTCATATGAAACCTCTGACTTACTGCTGGGCACATAGCTTCCTGCGATAAAGTGTATTTCCACGCCTCTGTTGCAGGTAAGCAGAGCAGTGTGACTAAGTTCCGGACAATGGGATACACTGTAGAAGTGTCCTGAGCAATTTCCAGAAAGTGTCCTCGAAGGATCCCTCTTCACCCCTTCCTCCTCCCTACAGCCTGGGAGCTCAAGCGGCCACCTGGACCAGCGGGTAGAGCCGTGTTATCAAGGATTATGGAGCACGAGAGAAAGAAACGACTCTCGAGTGACCTTGGAGCAACCACACAGCCCTGAATTGCTTACCTCCAGACTTCTATTCACGTAAGGAAAAAATACATTTCAACCCTGTTTAAACTATTGTAAATGTGGGTTTTCTGTTTCATAACAAAAACCAATATTGGATTAATTAATACATGTAGCGGAATGCTTACTACATTTCCAGGCTTAAATCCCATGAGGTAAAGCCCCTCAGTATCCCATGCCGACCTCCTCGATAGTCTTAGACTTTCATTTGAACATCTCAGCAGTTCTGATTGGATCACGGGCCAATTGTTGACCTGGAGCCTGGAGCCCCACCAGGTTTAACAGACACGCCCACTGCTGGAGCTGAGGATGGAGTTGTCTCCATCCAAACTGCACAAACTACGAGTCAGGGAGGTTTCCCAGAAAGAAAGAACAAATGTTCATCATGCTTCCCAAGCCAGATCACCCCCCCCCGCCCCCCCGGCAATTTTATTATTATCAAAGATGCGATCATTCTTCTAGGCTCATAACATTTTATATATAATCTATTACTTCGTGATATGGTCTCTTGTGCTTGATATGGTGGGCTCTTCTCCAACGTCTCTCAGGAAATAAAAACAAAAAGACAGATACAAGAGACATTACTATTCGGTAGTGTCATGTTTGGGAGGAGGGTAGTAACTCTTATAACCACAATGGTTAAAAGTAAACAAAGCAACAAAATAACTGATCAGTATTCTTCAAGAGTGTCAAGGTTATGAAGGACAGAAGACTGAGAAACTGTCACAGATTAGAGGACACTAAGGAGATCTGACAACTGTAGACAACAGAGCCTCCAGTGGCCGTCAGGATCGTAGCCCCTGGGGGTTATAGCCTTGTGTCACCCCTTCTCCTCGACTTGTTTCTAATCAATAAAATCTGGCAAAAGCAATGGGATGTCATTCTGTGATTATGTTACATTATACAGACTCCACATTGCTGGTAGGCTCACTTAAGAGATCTCTCTTTCTACCTGCGTTCGAAGAAGTTAGCAGCCATTCTGGGGGCCCACTGGGCAGGGAGCTGGGGGCAGCTCAGCGGTCGTAGCCTGCAAGAAGTCAGGGCCCTCAGTCTGACATAGGCATACCACACTGTATTGTGCTTTGCTCTATTGCACTTCACAGATGTTGATTTTTTTTTTACAAATTGAAGGCAAGACCCTCCGTCAGCAGGAAGAGGACAACTTGCTTTTGTTGAGGTGGTCTGGAGTCAAACCCACAATGTCTCTGAGGTACACCCACAGTCTCAAGGGGATGAATTCTGCCAACACACGAGTGAGCTTGGAAGCGGCTTCTGCACCGTCTGGCCTCCAAGTGAGACCAGCCCAGGGGACGCCTTGATTCCAGCCTTGTGAGACCCTAAGCAGAGGAGCCAGTGAAGCTGTGCCCAAACTCCTACCCCACAGAAACTACGAGATAATTAATGCGTTGTTTCATAAGCTGCTAAGCTTGTGGCAATGTATTATGCAGTAACAGAGACTTGTCTTCATCAGCTTGAGCAGCTATAACCAAATACCATAAACAGGGCAGCTTACGAACAGAAAGGTATTTCTCACAGTGCTGGGAGCCAGCAGTCCGAGGTCCTGGTGGCCGCATGGTCAGCTTCTGGTGGAGCCCTCGGGCAGGCTGCAGAAGGCTGACTTCTGGTTGTTTCCTCATGTGGTGGAAAGAGAGCAAGCCAGCTCTTTGGCCTCTTTTATAACCCTCTTCATAAGGACTCCGCCCTCTTAATCTAATCACCTCCCAAAGGCCGCACTTCCAAATACCATCACGTTGGGGATTATGTTTCAACATATGAATCTGAGGAGTATACAAACATTCAGTCCACAACAATACCTAATCCCTCAACTAAATGCTATGTGGTATCCGGAAACAGAAAAAAGACATTAATGGAAAAAATGGTGAAATCCAAATAAAGTCTGTAGTTGATACTCAAGTACCAATGTTAACTCCTTAGCTTTAATCATTGTACTATGATTAGGTAAGATGCTAACATCAGGGAAGCCGAGTAAAGCATATGTGGTTACACGGATGCACATCTAGAATCTCCAAATGAAGAGTTAAAAAAAAAGGTAAACACAAATAAAAGTGAAAGTACACAAATCAGCTGTAACACTTGTGGAAAACAAGCCTCGATTCTGATGGTTAGCAATAATGTAAAAATAGCGAAATGTTCATCAAGGTGGAAAAGAGAACTCTTTGACACACCGTTGGCTGTCTGAGGCCCAGCTTCACTCTTGCCCAAGCGGATCCACTCATGTCAACACCTGAGCAGCATTTGTCCCCTTGGCACACAAATTTCTTATTTTCAGTTATTTGATATCTCACAGCTGTAGTTAGTTACAGTTTTATTCTTAGCTGCTATGATTATTTGACAACAATTTTATATAAAAGATATTTCCCCTCATTCTTCTTCCTTCCTAGAAATCTCTTTTGCTTCTGTCTTCTCCAACAGTTTCCCCCATAACTGTATCACTTTCTCTCTTTCTTTCCTTTCCATACCTCCCTTCACTCCCTTTACCATCTCTTCTTCATATGGTTTGGAATTTCTAAGAGAAACAAGGGGGCCTGGTGTGTCACTGTTTTTTATACTCTAGATAGCAACACACAAAACCAACGCCCGCCCCTTCAAATTTCCATCCAGAATTCGTCACTGCCTTCTACCTAAACGTTTACAAGAGCATCTCAGCTCAGGATGAAATGTGCCCCAAATAGTGTGCACTCTTGACCTCAAGCAGGTTTTATAACTTTAAAGAAAGTTTATAACCAAACTTAAAATGTAGATCAGATAAGTATACAGCTTGGTAAAGGAAGTGGATGTGGAGAGCCAGAAAGTTAATAAAAAGCAGAGTGCATTTGTATAGACTATCATTTGGAAAATAAATAGCTCAACCTGGATCCCAAACAAAACTAAAATAATAAAGGTGCCGCTGACTTGGTGAAAATGTTCTGGATCTGGTTGAAAGGAGCATACCTATTAATTGAATCAATTCCTTACTTTTATTTTGGTCTGTAGAATTAAAAACCTCTTCAACTTATTGGGAGTTTTTGAAGCTACTTCTTGCCACGCACCCTGAGCATTATGAAATACTGTATAGATCCTAATAGCAATGATATTTGGGTCAGTGTCTACTATGTAATCTGTACTTACATGCTCTGCCTCCAACATGCCTAACCATTCCTCGGAAATTATAAAACCTTCTTTTGAAGTGGAGATGGAACAAGCCATCCCCTAGTACTAAAACAGAGACACAAAACCATAATTATGTGTAGAGTATAAAATAAATATCTTTTATTTAAAGGACACAAAGATGAATAGGGAAATAGAGGAGAACTAATTTAAGGCCCTTATACTCACAGAAGTTACTATTAACTGTTCATTTTTTGTTAAATAATGAACATAGAAAGAGATTTGAATTTCTTACTTCAGAGTTACTTTCCTTTTTTAGGTGCACTCAGAGTCTTGAGGGTTTTTCTTATCCAGGTGACAGAGTCAGCTTGTGGATACATGGACTTAATGAGTGCTCCCACTTTAAAGAAACAGAAACCTGAGTGCAAGCAGAAATAGATTTAGTTTTAAAGTGAATTCTGCAGGTTTGCTGGCTTGCCCGACAAGATTTTATTCTCACAAATGTTTCGCTGGGTTCTCAGCCTTGACATGAAAGGGAGTCGTGCATGTCCAGATGCTGGCAAATGGGAGAAGGCTGCCCTGGCAGGATGGGCCAACTGCTGGCAGCTTGTTTTCCTTTCCACACTCCTGGGGGCGGGGGTGAAGAGGTAATGGTGCTCATGGGTCCTGTGCAGAGCCATCGAGAAATCACGTCCCCCAGAGAGTGTCTGGAAAAGGACTATGTCCAAGAAGTACTGGGCTGCTCGGGAAAGTTTGCAGGCCTCAGCAGCCAAGGAGAAATTGAATGTATACATATTTTTTTTTTTCCTACATTTTCAGTTTAGGTTTTACTTTTTTAAAAAAAAGCAGAATGAGGTCAAGTTTATTCAGATAATATCATGGCTCTGGATGCCAGTACCCCACTGTTAGAAATAGGTAAGAAGCACAAACCAAACATCTCAGGGTGCACACTGGCTAATGTCACCCAAACGAGCAGCCCTCCTATCGCCTTCTTGGGGGATGCTGCAGATGCTGCAGAAGTGTGGGGGTGTATGCATGTGTGTTTGTGCATGCTTGTGCTTGAGTATCTGCCACAAACCACCAAGGAGGTGACTGAGGACCAGGTCCCTTGGCCACTGAGGACACAGCCAGGCCCTTGGCTGGGAAGGTGGTACCTAGAGAAGCTTGCCCAGGTTCCAGACTGTCACAGTTCAGGGAGCCTGGGGCAGTCACAGGGCCCAACCCAGCTAGGCAGCACCCCTTCCAGCAGCCCCGCTCAAGTCTTGGGGCCCAGGAATGGGGAGCCAGGAGGTCCCGAGCAGAGCGGCTTCTGACTCTAGAGATGGAGAAAGCCCTCTGACAACACACACTCGGGTGTGAAGGCCACCGCTCACTGCCTAATGCTGTCCTTTCTCCCCAGAGGGGAGAAACACCTGTGGCGCAGCATCAGGTCAGCAAGGGAACGGACCAAGGGGCTTTTCCTTCCGAAGTAAAATGCGGCTGTGAGGAGCCCGTGGGCTGGAATCTGTGACAATCCCCAGCTCTAGCTGACAAGCAGGTAAAATAAAAATTCCAGTAAGAATACAAGGTACTGATAATGTTTCTGAGTGTATGAAATAAATAAGTTACATGTGTTGGTAAGTTTCTTAGATTTGGTCTGGTTGAATCTTACAAGTTTCATAAATAAAATTATAAATCCTACAATTTTCAAAAACTTTTGTGAATATGCCAGCATATATTAAAGAAAAATATATTGATCACCGACAACACATTGTGCTCAGTACACATGTCTCAGCTCTGACTACCATGCAGAATACCATAAACTGGGTGGCTAAAACAACAGAAATTATTTCCTTACATTTCCGGGGACTGTAAGTCTAAGATGAAGGTTCCACAGGGCTGGTCTCTATGCCCAAAGGAGAGAGAGACATCTCTAGTATCTCTTCTGCCTCTTACAAGGCCACTGGTCCTATTGAATTAAGGTCCCACACTTATGATCACATTTAACTTTAATTACACCCTTAAATGCCCTATCTTCAAATACAGTCATATAGAGGGTTAGGGCTTCAACATACGAATTTAGGGGTGACACACTACTCCTTACCAGCACATATAGTGAAAGAAGAATTTAGAAGAAAGAACACATCCTGCCTTCAAACATGCCAAGTTTAGGATCAGACCCTGCTACTGACAAGGGTATCTCTAAGTTGTTTTCCACAGAAGAATGTCCTATGGGCAATAAAACACAAGGAAATCAGATTTTTACTATGCTCCATCGTTGTACAAGCAGCCCAATCCTTGGATTTGAAGGTAAAGAACTGCCATTACTTTGCCAAATGTTTCAAACCACCCTTAGTGTAATTTGGCCATTTCTCTACCCAGCCAAATTCTGACATGCCAGGTCGGTACTGTATGTTGGATATGATAGAACTTCATCCCCTATCCTGCATCCTGCATTCTCTTCTGGATCAAAAGCAACACTGTAAAACTCCACGTACATGCTCAGGTTATCCTACATAAAGGACAGTATTCCTGGCCCCACCACATGGATTAAGTGTTCAGTGCTGAACCTTCTCAGCATTTCACCAAAATACACTATCACTGTGTCTGGAACAAAACTGCTGAATCACGACTTCAATCCCGTGATGACGTTCCACCTGGGAAGCCACCTTTTGCTTCACAGATTTACTTGACTGCTGCCTTTGCCCTCGGGTCTTCTTTTCTAGCAGGAATGTGAAAGTTTTTAAATTACAATTTTGCAGTCACACAAAACGGAGAGGCTATAGTTAGCCAAAAGGAAGTGAAATACACAGAGGCACTATGTAACCATAGACACCTTGAAATCTGCCTCAAGTGGATAGTAAACATTTTCGTAAACAAGTAAAACTTTCACATTGCAAACAAAGCATCAGTGGAAATTTCCTTTTATGGAAAAAAACTTTTGAGACACTGTCAGTGTTAGGTGTATAACCGCAAGTGATTTTCTTAGCCTTTCAGAGCTTCGATTTCCTTAATAGTAAAATGAAGTGGATAATAGCTACTTCATAAAGCAGTGGTTCTCAAACTTTGACATGAACCAAATTACCTGGGGAGCTTACTGAAAATGCAGTCTTAGACCAGGCTCCAGACCTACTAGGTAGGTATTATTGGGGTTTTGTTTGAAAAAAATATTATTTTCAGAAATAAATTAAATGAGAACATAGGAAGCACCTGTTCTCATTCCTATGCATGAGTAGTAATTACTATTTAGAAACCCTAATCATCCAAAAAATCAAATCTGAGATCAAGAGATGGTGGCTTACTTTCAAGACGCATTTGATCAAAAGAAAAGAAAAGAAGAAATTAAACTAACAAGTCTAAGTGCAAATAAACTAAACATAGACTAGTCTACACTGGAACAAACCATGCAAGGTACAAGATTCAGGCCAGTTACCCTGCTCTCTTTTAAGAGCTTCAACATAACTGTCAGCGCCACAGCCACCTAACGGAGACTTATTATACATAGGTGACCATGCACTGTAACATGTGACCCTACAACTGGAACCAC